AGCTCCCAAGTCAGCCAGCCACAACAGTGTGAATTCCTCAGGGAGGTGCCAGTCTCATCCTTTTGTTGCGCCCACGCTTCTCCGGCGAGCTAAGAAAATGTTTATCTCCCTGAGCCTGGCTTTCATAATTCCATTCCATCACAGCAGCCTACTATACATCTCCTCTGTCTTACTAAAAGGCCTTAGTTGACCAAAGCCTTGATGGGTAGCAGAGGTCAATATCTAGGCACCATCTGATGATGTCCATGAAATATGGAAGATTGAGATTTGGAAAGGAAGAGGAGTAACTGGTGACAAAGATGAATTAATGAATGAAAGGAATGAATGAATGAATGAATGAATGAATGAATGAATGAATGAATGAATGAAAGGGAAATATCTATCTAGGCTGCTTGTCTGTGAAACTCAAAGAAGGTCTGATCTCGTGTTGATGAATATGCGCATGAATGGGAAAATGTCAGTTTAATTATAAATGACAGGGCTAAAATATTTATAATGCTTATAGAGTGCTGTGGGTGCAAATGAAAGCAATAGTAGTAATCCATAAAAGAGAATATATGTAGCTCAGGGTTGAACTGTGGAGTTCTTGGTATTCTCTGAGCTTGGTTGCTTTCTTGCAAACATTTTGTTACCTGTCTAGGTAACTTCTTCAGTGCCACTGAGGTGCAGTGAAGATGTTATCTAGTCAGGTAATGAAACATCTGCCATAAAACAACCAAGCTCAGAGAACACCAAGAACTCCACAGTAATCCATAAGTTGGTGATAGCTGCATGTTATGCTCCTTGAATGGTGATGACCAAAGGACCAGAGATGAGGTAAAAAATGTACACTGCTAGGTAAAATGAATGGATGGGTGGAAACGGGAAAAGAGAGGGCAGAAAAAGTGACTGGGCCATTCAGATGACCAGGAATGAAGGAGAGTGCTGATTAGTGGGTATCTAATTAGAAATAGGCTTGTTTTGAATATAAGATTTAAGCATAAGTCTGTCCATAAATACACATGGCAAGGGAATCAATACACATCTAAAAGAATGATTGGTCTGATTAGTCGGTTATGATGAAAGAAGAATATTAGCAAAGGTTGTAAATTTCTGATGGTGCACAGACTGTTTTTTGGTAATGAAAGGAGGGAATCTTGGGGAAAAGAAGATATGGAAGAAAAGGAAAGAAGTAAAAGAAGCCAGATTGAAAAGAGGAAGACTCCAGGTAGAGAAAATGAACCATAAATGAAAAGGTATGGAAAGAGTGATTCGTCTCCCAACAGAAAAATGGAATGTGAATGTAAGGAAGAGGATGTGAAATCTGTCTCAAATAGAATTATGTTACAGAATGCCACACAATTGTGTAGAGTTACACTAATGCGAAGTAGGGAAAAGGAGGCTTGGAGGAATGATGAAGTGAAAGAGGCTGTGGATGAGAGACAAGGAGGATGAGAGAAAGATATAGTTGGCGAGAGAAACAGTTGCAAAGCATATAGGTCAGAGCAAAACACAGGCAGAAAAAAATCCTGAACTATTTTGATGGAAACCAAAACAAATTTTGGAAATGGGTCAAAAAGGGTTAAACAAGGAGCCTCCAGCAAGTGCAAAAGGAATTTAGAAAGAATTCTTTTCGAGAGAATGAATGAGGACCCCTTTTGTATTTAATCCATATTCATTCAGCACATACTTATTCTTGATCCTCTTGCTTGCTTTTCCTACCCACACTCTTCCCTATCCACTCTCCCTGCATCCAATAAGAATGTGGTACTTCCAACACTGATTGTTCTTCAGCAACTAACCAACATTGTTGATTGATTGATTGAATGACTGATTATATGCCATCAAGTTGCTTTTGACTCCTGGCAACCACACAGATAGATTTTCTCCATGAAACCAACTCTCTACTCATGCAAATATGGCATAATTCAGGCCTATTTACTTTATCATATCCTTTTTGTAAATCAACTTTCTCACGTTCATACTGTATCTCAGTTACCAGCTGAAGAGCAAAACTTTCCTCTCCACAAATCCTGTCCAGTACAAACCACACCACACTTCCCAAATTAGCTTTGATGCCACATGTTGTACCTTTTCAATCAGAATTCAAAATGAACAAACTCATCCCACAATGTTTTTCATTCATTCTTGCTCTCTTTCCTTTTAGGAAGGGAAACAAGAGCATCATTCTTCCATTCATTCAGCCCAGAGGCAGCCTTCACGCACACTTGAACCAAGTCACACAGATACTTCATAAGCAAAGTACATCCAGATGTAAACATCTCTCCAGTTACACCATCTACACCTGAAGCCTTACCATTTTCCAATATTTTCGCAGCATTTATGACATTCTTTTCATCATTTTTTCCTTGGGACCTAAAAAACATTCATTTCAGTTCTCCTTTTTGATGTATTATTATAATTCCTGTACAAATTTTTCTTTCCAAGGTTCCCTAACACATTTCATCATTTTTATTTTAATTTCATTCTTCTTGCTTATAGTAATTTTATTAAAGATTATAATTACAACAGTAAAAACTAATACAAACTCAAAAAAATAGAAGTATAAAAAGAAAGAGTAGAAGGTGCAGGAAAAAAAAGGAAAAAGGAAAAAGAGAAAAAGAAATAGAAATAGAAATAGAAAAGAAAAAAATAAAAATAAAAATAAAAATATAGTAAAGAAAAAGAAAAGAAATATATAGAGAAGTGATTTCCCACCTTCATCACAATAAGTATAAACAATTTTAGTAACTGATTACCTTCTCTTAAAATACAACAAATGATCTCTTCCTCCCATAGCTGATCTCTTATCTATAATCAAAACCATAAAACCTCATCATTTCAGTCCTGATGTCAGCAAAAGTCCATTAAGGGTTAC